CTCCCTAGTTAAAAGAGAGATTAGGTACAAAGAGAATAGTACTGATATTGGCTAGTGTCTCCTTAAAAAAAAAAAAAAAAAAGACATGTCTGCCCTTTAGCTGCTCCCACATTCACATACACCTGTAATAGTATATACTTACGCTTACAGAAATAAAATGTCCCAGCCAATATATGCATCTCTTTCCATAATGGCTGAAAATGTATACACCCCTTCTTCAGAGGTTCTGCTAAGAATGCCCTTTTCAGTGAATTCTGTAGCCACATTTGAGATGAGCGTTGGGGATGACAACTTTCTCGGGAATTGCAGTGCTCGAGCAGTTCTTTTTTTATTCTCATGCATTGGAGCACTTGGTGTTGACTGTCTTAAGGATCAATCTGTCATATGGCTCTGTCAGCCAGACTTCTTTGGCAGTATAAAATATTGGCCTTTAAGGTTTATTTGCTTCTGTGGATGAGCAAACTGGATAGTAACCAATACTTTAAATACAAAGGTTTTGAACATAGAACTTGGTCTGAGAATTTGTCTCATGGCCTTGGTACGCTACAGAGTACCTTAGTTCTTGGTTAGTAGAATCACCCTGGGAACAGTTAGAAAGAGTGAGAAGATTGGGTGGCACCTCTTTTGTGCTGCATCTTCCTAGTGAGGGCTTAACCCTTTCCCAGGTCTTAGTGGCAAAACTGTAGGTGCTTGAAATAGGTCCAGGCAGAGTGATTCCTTGGAGGCCACCATTGTTCTCCTTTGGCATTTAGATGGTTTCATGGCAAACTTGTTTTTTTTGCCTTGTAGCTTCTTGAGAAGCAGCCAACCATACTCCAGCATCTGAATTTTTCTTGATTTCTCTAAAGTTGAAGGTATAAAGGCCCAAGTCTTAACAACAGGACATGGTTTAATCAACTGGTTCACTCTTACATCAAAGATGATCATATTGCCAAATCAAGATAGTGAGTCCTGGTGCCCTCCATCCTGTGACCTTGTTCATGCTCTGTAGTGTGTTACTTTGTAACACTCCATTTCCTATACTAGCTTCTTTTTTTTTTTTTTTTGTAAGATGCTTTCTGTTGCAAATAATAGAAAATGCAACTTAAATAATAAAGAGAATTAATTGGCCTCTGTGAATGAAAACTTGAGAGCTGTGGGGTGGGCTTCAAGTATAGCTTGATCCAGAGTTTATCTTCAGGGATCCAGCAGAAATTTTTTTTCTTATCCCCCCTACTTCTCCATGTGTCTCTTTAGACAAGCCCCTCTCATGAAAGCAGGCACGCCACCTCAATTCCAAATATGAAAGACACAAATCCATAGGTAGAGAGAAATTTTGACTTAATATTCCAAGCAAAAGGTTCAGTTTTTATGACCATCCTGTAATCAGTTACAGTGGCTGTGTTAGTGTGTAACCATGGGTCACACAGGGACCCCAAACTGTACAGGGTGCATGCTCTAAAGGGATCTGGCCATTTATGCACTCAAAGGCAAAGCAGACTCTTAGTGTGAGAGATCTTTAATAGAATTGGTATACATAGAGAAGGAAGAGAAAAGAAGATATTCCTAATAAAAGTTTTCCAATAAAGCACCACAAATTACCTATGCCCTTATAGGCAAATGCCCAGCCTTACAGGCTCCATCTGATATGGGCCCATTGAGGCCCAAGTGCTTGCCACAAGTCTAAGGCACCTTCTGGCAGGGAATAGCAAGAAAGAACTAAGGCAGCCCCCCCCCCCCCACAAAAGGAGAAAAGGACAAATATAAATCAAGATAATAGCTTCCATTGTCTCCGCCAAGGACAACCTGCCCACGTGTCTCTCACCAAATCCTACATGTCTCTTCTCCAAGTGTCTCCTTCAAGTCCCTGGGTGCATGTCAATGCCAGATAAGCAAGAAGCCCCTGAGAGCCCACCAGCCATCCCTGTTAGAAAGTTCACCTGGCTTCTCAGCTCCATCCCTAGTTCCCAGTAGCTCCCCGCTCAGGAAGTCCCATTCATGGCACACCAAGACTTGTAGTTCAAGGTCACTATAAGTTACCTTATAAGTGGAAGTGGGAAAAAGTGCTGCAGCGCACTGTGTTGTGATGCTTCTTCCCCTTTTATGGAAGTACGTTCTTTATCAGCTGGGAGATGAGATTATGTTGACTGCTTTAGTCAGAATCACATGCTACATTTCTGCATTATGTATTAAATTTGACTTCCCAGGAAGAACACAGATCCCCATGGGTGTCTTGGAAGGTAGACATTGCATGTCAAAAATTATCCTTTATGCTCTACCCAAGTTCCCATCTAACTTTCCTTTGTGAATTCTTACAGTTCATGGAATCTTGAGTTAGCATGTGATTCTGAAATTTGTCCCTATGGTAAGCATTAGTCCTTTGGAGAAAAAAATCATTTTCATTTTGTTGAGTGATTACCAGCTAGTTTCATTGAGATGTCATGTGAAGGCAGTCCAAGGCTGGAGACTGTAGTCATAATAGAGAAACCAGTTGATTAAGGAAATAGGTAAGTACCTCCATGATATTGTTCCAGATTTCTACCTTGAGAATGAGGGGGGAGTATCCACTAGATACTAACAAGAAACAAGAAAACATTGAAACAAACCTGTGCTTGAATCACCCAATGAATGTTGCTATCAACTTCTTATTGGTTTTCATTATTGTATTTTGGATTGTGAAAGTGTTAGATTTTTTTGACCTTTGCCAATATAGCCCAGCTTTTGTTTCGCTCTCTTCCCACCTTTGGATTATGAAGTTGGGATAGAAGTGTAAAAGTTGGAACCCATATAAACTTGCTTGAAACTTGTATTTGAAACGATGGTGCAGCAGATTTAATTACAGAGAAAGATTGGCTGCTTCATTATTGTTACCTGCAGTGAAGCCTTTGTCTTTGTGCAGCTGTTTCTATAAATAGACTTTATATACAAGAATCCACCCCAGGGGCAAAGAGTTCCCAGTCAACCTTTGTGCTTAATTTAAATTGCAGGTTTGAGGTGGTTATTTTTGAAACCCTTCTCAGGTTGACTTCTCCCTTAATCCCTGAGCCTTCTTCCCTCATCTGCCAAATGATATATAATGCATCCCAACTAGAGTGCTTGTGGCATCTCATGAGTCTGAGAATTTGAAATTTGATTTAAATGTTAATTTATTGCAACAAAGGTTGGGCACTCACGTTCCTGTTCCTGTGCAATTGTTTCTGTGGGCTTTGGCATGGGACCCACTGCCTCCCTGGCTGCTGCTGCATCTCCAAAGAATGGCTACTGCCCCAGCCCCACCTATTTTGTTTTAAAACAAAGCCTGGTCCAGTTCAAAGTGCGTGAAGCCATTCTTTGTGTGACTCTTGTTGGGTTTCAGTGATACGTGGGACTCTATTCCAGGTGTAGCTGGCATGAAATTAAAAAAACAATTATTAATGAAAAAGTTACTCTATTTTTCTTCTTTTGAATATTCAGTACTTCCTTATTGGGTTATAGGAGAAATGCTATGTTTCTTCTTGGTCTCTCTGTCGGCTTTGCAGTGCACACTTAAAACTTTTCTTTAATAGAAGGTCAGCAATAAAGAATGTGTTCCTGGGGTCATATAAAATCATTAGTAATTGTAAAATATTACATAATCCACAGTCCTCATAGTTTGCTTTAAAACAGCCCAACTAAATGTAGTTTCTGTTACTCTACTCAATTTCTATTTTAGACTGGGGGGAAATTTACTTAAATTCCGTATTTTGAAGCAAGTAGACCAACCTTTAAGATATATTATGTCTGGGTAGCTCTTTAATGGAAAGAATTCTATGTACCTTCCCCCTCAGTATTAGGGACATGAATACATCTGAGTACTGATTCTCTCCTGAGGTGTCATTTATTGACTTCTGCATTGGTAACATGGAGGGAATGACCCAGAGGAATTTAGTTCGATTGGTACATCTTGTTGCTATTAGAAAAGGTAACATAACACACACACATCAAACACGTTTTCCTGTGTTTATATGTTTGAGAGAATTGTAGTACTCTTGACAGCCATCAGATTTGAAACCTTGGGGATTTAACATTCCATTGTTGGGTGGTACCTCGTGTGTTGAGGGTAGAGGCTGCCTTTGTAGTGTGTGTCTGTTCCCATTTCGTAGGTCTTCACATTGAACTAGAGAGAAACTAGTATTTCTGGTCTGTTCTTTGTGTGTCAATTTGATTCTGCAGTTATCAGGTCTGTTGGGATGAGAATTAAGGCATTGAAGTCATTCTTGGCAAGTTACATTATATAGCAACCTCTGATTTACAAATGGATTGTGTTCTTTGTAAGCCAGTGTTGGTGCCTGGAATGAAATTTACCCCCATAGGTGCTATGTTGTAAGTGGTGATTGAATTCTATATAACACAAAATGTAACATACTTTGAAATCATCATAAGCAACATTTCCTAATTTCTGAGTTTCTTTATCTTACAATGTGAATAATGATAACAATAATGAATTCCACAGTTATTGTAACATTTACATTTATTAGTAGATTTAAAGTTCTTGCTATAGTGTCTGATAGGTACTCAAAAGTGGTGACATCGTTTTAAAAACATCTTGTACTAGAAGAATGCATTTGTGTTTCATCTTGGGGAAGCAGGATCATATGAGTTCAAGTCTGACATTGGTAGGCAAGGGCGGGTGGAAAGGGGTGAGTTGGGTTTTTTTTGTTTGAGTTTTGCAACTTCTGGTGGGGAGAGGGGATGGTGTAAAGCAATTACAGACCAAGGCTTCCTACTGGCTCTTTCTGTAGTTGAACTTTGCCTGGGATGGTGGACTTGGAGGCTGCCTCATCTACGGCAGCAAATTGGTAAATGGGACATCAGTGACCTGGCAGAGCTGCAGCCACTCAGAGACTTCTGACGTAGGTAGTGGGGGAGGTTGTGACATTTGTGAGGCAGGTGAGGGCCTCTGGAGCTGTCTGTGTTTCACTTCTCCAGTAGTGTAGTGCTAAGGACCCATCTGAAATGCTTTTCCTTGTGTAAAGTGACCCTTTTTCCTTCTTTTTCTCCAGCAGGAGACTATGGCCAAAATGGAGGTGAAAACATCCCTTCTGGACAATATGATTGGAGTTGGAGATATGGTTCTCTTAGAACCTCTCAATGAGGAGACCTTCATCAACAACCTTAAGAAGCGCTTTGACCACAATGAAATCTACGTGAGTATCTATGGAAGGTCTTCGGTGGGGCTTAGGCTTTGTGTTTTGGGGCAGAAAGCTGATGTTTCTTTCTGAGACTCTTCTCTCTCTTTTCTGTTTGTTAGAGTCCAGAGGCATTTGTTTATCTTTTCACAGAAGAGAGTTTTGTGTCTGCTCCTTTGGCACCTGAGTGGTATTGATTAGAGTCAGTGAGTCTGCTTTCTACACACCGTGGAGAGAGTGCTGATTATGTGCAGAGTACAGACTGGGCAGTGGGGGTATAAGACTAGCAGGGATAATTAAGAATACTTATTTGTATTAAGAATGATAAGAATACTTATTAGTTCCTGACTTATGAGGAACATATATTCAGAAGGAATTTTGTAGCCCGCAGGCATTGTTTTGAATGTCTTCAGGAGATTTGCATTCTACTCACTGACAGCAACATGAGACATGTGAACACTGTTTTTGGAATATTAATGTGATGACTATGCTAAACAAAATTCAGAGATGTGGTTATTTAAAATGCTGATTCCAGTGGAAAAGGTATAAAATTCTGCTGCAGAATGGGGCAAGGTATTGTTTGGTTTGGCGGTGAAGCCTGGTATCACCTTCCCTTGAAGTATAGCAGCTTAGCTTTCAGGTGAGAAAACTTTAGGGTTCTGCAGCTTTCATTGAAACTATGATCTGATATCAAATAAAAGACAGACTTTACACATTGGTCTTTGAGATGGAGATAGGGGCAGTCAATTATATCTTAACTAATGTTACTGATTGTTTTTCTTGTTGGCTCTAAGAAGCGCAATTCAATTTTAGGTGAATTAAAAATAGTATGAAGAGTAGCATGTTACAGGCATTCACGTACCTGGTTTGTTGTGCCAACTGAAAAATAAAACAGTCAATCCCCTTTTAACAAAATGCCAAGTGTTAACATTCATGAGTCTCTAGCAGACAAAATGTCTGGGCTTCAGCCCTACGTAATTTTATTTTCTACCTATTTTAGGAATGCCTTTTCTGATATAAAACAAAAGTAGAAAATTGCTTTTTGCTTATAGATATTCACGCCTATTCATGTTTTCCATGACACTTTATGACTATCATTTTCATGAGGTGTGTGCCTCCTTTTATTTTAGAACTTTAAGAACACAATTATATCGAAGGGTTGAGTATTCTCTCTTTTAAGCAAAAAAGCAGGTTATAGAATCATGGGTATAGTTTGATCCTATTTTTTCAAATTTGGGGGTTTGTGGATATGTGCATGTTTGTACATGTGTATGTAAAGAATGCTAACTTTGGGTATGACAGTGGGGGAAGGTGGGGATTGGGGCCAGGGAAGGGTTATTCTTTTAGATCTCCATATTATAGCACTCATTAAGTCAAGTATGTGGTGTTTTTGTAATAAAAAGAATTACAGTACAATAAATTTGATTAACACACAGCCCGAACCCTACATGTCACATTTACCAACCATGGGAAATCTGTTTCTGTCTCTTACTCTGATAATATTTCTGCTTTGCTTTTGTTCATTTTGTTGTTGCAAAATTGGCTAGCTTGATGTTAAAGGCCAAGTTAATATGACTTGCAACATTTTACTGTCGTGTGGATCACGTTTTAAAATTTTTTCCCTGAAGATGAAGATGCAGTTAAAAAAAAAATCTCTTTTATAGTCCCATAGCTTCGTTTAATACATAAAAGTGAGGGACTGTCTATAATGATCCATCCTGCAAACATACTGAACAGTTGGGGTGCTTGCAAAAAAAACCCACATTGAACAGTCATTTGTATGTTTGGAAGTCAGAGTTGATAAAGGGGGCCAGTGAACAGGAGAATTTTTGGCTCAGACTTCTGAACTCCAGATTTACTCTCAATCTCTACAGCGTCCTGTATGAACCAGCTTGAGGTCAGGAGTACCCTGCTCTTCTAAACTGCCATCCTTCCATCCTTCCACCCTCCCACCCCATACATAGATATAAGAAATAGTTCCTACATGCTCAGAACTCTCAGAAGTGATTGCTTTGCCTTTGGATATGAGTTGTCAGCTCTCTAGAGCATTCTGAACCCTGCATGGCCCTCTAGATCTCCAGCCAGCTAATCTGGAAGTAGATCTCTTGTGATCCTATGATAGCGGCTGGGCCATCTGTGTTACATACATAAACTTCTCAAACCACTGACTGTTGCCAGGTAACTGGAATGCGCTGAGTGGCAAAAGAAAATGATGTCAACCCCTAGGATTGGCGTAGGGTTTGCTTTTTCCACAGTAGATAGGCTATCTATGAGGGAATGAATACCCCAAAATATATCTATCTACGTGTTAGGAAGAAGAAATGGGGAATGGATGCTGATGAGGCTACCACTTTGGTAGAGAATTCTGCAGTGAAATGGCTTCATTGATGCTGATCCTGTCCTGGAGGAAAGGCTCCATGGGGCACATTTAGCACTTCAGTTCAGACTTCCAGTGTACCCAAAACATGCATCTCAGATTTTACTGCTAGAGGTGGCCTAATGGCAGAGAAGAGTAAATAGCTTCCCCTGCTTCCTGGAACTCCGGGGAGCATAATTGAAATCTATCCATTTTAGGGACATCTTGTTAAAATCTTTGCTTCCATCGTAATTGCAAGTTTTTTTTTTTTAAAGATTTATTTATTTATGCATATAAGAGCTGGGGCCAGAGGTGTGGGGGGTGAGAGGATTCACCAGAGACAGAGTGGGGAACAGAATAGGCAGATTGACTGAAGTACACTGCTGAGGGAAGCAGCAGGCAAGACAGGAGAGGTCTGCCGCGCCATGTGGGTTGCTCCCTGGCTGGCTGGGGAATTGAGCTCATGCTGCAGTGGCTGCGGACAGCTTCACAGGTTGTGTCCTAACACCTTGCGCCACCAGAGAGGCCCAGTAATTGCAAGTTTTATGTGGGTTTGTTTTAATGTAATGTTCTCCTTGCAACTCTTTTTGAGTAAGAAGTACTTTTGGTGCTGACCAGTAGATTTAATTTGTTTTCTGTGTGTACTTGTCAGGTTGGGATCAACCAGATAGCGAGGTCTGAATTAGTTTCATAGTTGTAAGCGTGATTGCTTTGAAAGTCTAGTAAAAATTATCTTAATTTTTATAGTTAGTGCTAGAGTCAGGATCCATAAGGTTGGGATCTGTACTTTCATAAAGATCCTTCAGCTCATGCTCCAGCGATTTCTCCTCTTTGTTTGAGATGCTTCACACACTTGTTTAAAAGCCTGAGTTGGTTCAGGGGCCTGTTTGTTGCGGGGCAGAATCTCTGAAACTGGGACAGCTCCACGCATGGATGTGGTTGTTGCTATAAGGGCTGTTCCACTGGGGATGCAGGAGGGTCAGGTGAGAACAGATGGAGGGGTTGTTGGCCTGATGGGATGACACACAGGGTCAAAGACTGTTTGCTTTTATTCCTTCCTCTTGGTGGAGTGTGGTTCAAGCTGGGACCAGCTGCAGTATGTGCCCTTTGGTCTAGAAGTCTCTCTGTGGAGTCAGTCATGGGAAATGCTGGTCTAGAGCTTGCTTTTCTGTGTCCTTTATGTTCTTTGTCAGGCCTCCTTCCGGCCTCCTGGGCTCCACCCAGTCAGATGGACGGGGGTGCCAGATAGGGTTTCACGTGGACTTGTGCAGTAACATAGGAGGCCCATCCAGCACCATATTCTGTATTTAGGGTGACTGGTCAGGACTGTGGTTCTGTTCAGGAATGGGAAAGCTGCAATTTAGGCAAGAACAATGCCCTGCACAAATTTGGAATTTGGAAACTAAAGATCCAAGATGTCTGTTTTCTGGCAAGAATATTTTGGGTGCTGACAAGTTGATTTAGTTTGTTTTCCTTCTGAATTATCAGGTTGGGGATCACCCAAGGTCTGAATTAGTCCAATTTTAGAATTTTAAATTAAAGTAATTATAGTTGTAAATGTGATTGCTTAGAAAGTCTACTAAAAAGTGGCTTAAATTTTAGAAGTTCATGCTAGGATTTAGATCCCATAAAGAAGGACAGGATCAGGTACTTTTATGAAAGACATTCAAATATAAGCATAATATACTTGGTTTAAAATATTGCAAAGCTAGTGAAAATAATACCAGTTAACATTTATATATTTGAAGTTTCGGCAACACTTTTCATTCACGCACATGAAAACTGCTACCTTATAGGCATAACATATATTCCTAGGAATTTGGTATAAATGGTATCTTCCTTTTTACTTGCTGAATAGCAAATTGACATGAATTTAGCAACCTAAAATAACGTACATTTATTATCTTACTATTTCTGGGTCAGGAGTTCAGGAAGCGTAGCTGGGACCTTGGCGACAGGTCTCTCCAGGTGTCACCAGGATGGCAGTGTCTTCAGTGGCTCAGTCTTTTTTTGAGCTCATGGTTTTGTTGGCAGAGAGCAGGGTTGGAGTTCACATGTCCGGTTGAGTGCCATTTCCTGCTACCCAGCTATTCTCGAAGTTTTTTCTTAAAAATTTCCTTGAAAAAGCATTTCTTTTTTTAAATTGCAAAAGTAGCAAATGCTTTTGGAAAAAAAATCAAATAGTACAGGCACATATAACATTAAAAAAAAAAAAGTAGCTTTCCTTCCTTAGTACCCAGTCCTATTACCTAGAAGGAATGGAGTGGTGTGTAATCTTTCAGATCTTGTCAGTTTGTATAATTGTCACCTTTTGATTGCATTGGGGATAAGGGGGCCGCTAAGAAGCAAAGTTCAAAGTTCTGAGCTCCAGGCTGGTTCTCTCACTTGATGTCTGCAAGACCTGGGAGCAGTGCTTAACCCCTGAAAGCCTTTTCTTATTGGCAAACTGATAAAATTAAAAATTAATTTTTTGTTTGTTTGGTTAGTGTGGAAATGGGAGGAGATTCTCCTTTATTAGATGGTTGGGTCTTTACCAGAAAACTAAACCAAACAAGGTTTGAGTAAAACATGAACCATTTTTCTTTTTTCTTTTTAAAGATTTTATTTATTTATTTATTTATACAAGCACAGTCAGAAGCGCAGGAGGGTGAGAGAACTCACC